ACCCCTCCCCTCCCTAACACCCCGCCCCCCGCTCCCGCACGCCGCCCGGGGCCCCGCGAGCCGTCCGGCCCGCGGCCGCCACCTACCTGTGCCCCTCCCCGGGGCAGCGAGCAGCAGCTCCTCGGTGGCGGCTCCCTCCTCCCGCGGCGCGGCTGACGAGGAAGACCTCAGCACCCCAGGCACAAAGCTAGGGAGGGTGGGACACGGCGAGGGTGAGAAGAGGGAGAAGGCTGGGGGCAACCAGGCGCCGTGGGACCGCGGGACCGGCGGGGGCGGAGGCAAGGCTAGGACAGGGAGACGCGCGTGCGCGGACCCCGGCATGAAGGCGGGGCCGGGCCTGGAGGCGGGGCCGAGCCCCCGGCAGGCGACCCGAGGGCCGAGGGTGCGGAGCTGGCAGAGGTGGGCACTGGGCGTGCGTACTCATGGGAGGGCGACCCCCTGGGTCTTGTGGGCCCCGGGGATAGAGTTGAGCTGAGGGAGGGTAGGCAGAGCGCGCTCTGGGACTGGCCTGGGGAAGGGCTCTCGGGTGAGGTTGCGCCTCTTGGCCCGCGAAGTAAAAGGAGCCAGAGAGGGCGGGGCCGAGGGCGGGGCGGAGCCTATGGGAGGCGTGGCGCGAAGAGCTCGGGGTAGAAACGGGCGCGCCCTGGAACTCCGCCGGGCCGCGGCGAGGGGGAGGGGCTGAGGGCGGGGCGGGGCCTGTGGGAGGCGTGGCGCGAAGAGCTTCGGGTGGGAGCGAGCGCACCCGGGAACTCCGCTGAGGCCGCGGTGAGGGGGCGGGGCCTGTGGGAGGCGTGGCGCGAAGAGGTCGGAGCTGGACGCCCGCGCCCCGGGACTGCGAGGACGCCACGGGAGAGGGGCGGAGCCGCGGGGCCGGGAGGTGCTGCGTGGGGCGGGGAGCAAGGGAGGTTTCGAGCCCGGAAGGCCTGGCACCCGGAGCTAACTGGAGTCGCAGGCGAGCGGGTTGCAGGGCGAGCGGGCTGGCACCAGCGGGTGTGGGGCCTGGCTGGGCAAGGCAGAAGGAAGGGGTTGCTGTTGGGAAGGGAGCAAGAGTGGAGGGGTGGTGAAGACACGCGCGGCGGGAGGCGCAGAAGGGCCGTCGCGGGAGGTGTGACGCGGACAGGCCGTCTCCTCTAGGCCCTGGAGTCGCCGGTGCTATCCCACGATGCTCTTTGGGGCCAGAAATAGCGTCTTGACCAAAAGGGAAAACCAGTTGCAAATCGAAATTGATTAGTCTACCAAAATGTAAGCGGTCAGCTGCAACGTAACCCCTCTAGCTATGAGTTATACCTAAGGTTGGGGGTATTTATTAATATATTCTTTACATTATTTGGGGCGGGGCCTCCGCAAGTCAAGGCCTTAGGGCCCTCGAAGATCTCCACCGGACCTTGGACTGAGGAGGAGGGTTTTGGGTGGAGGTGAGAAGGTGGTGCCAGGGCTGGTTTGTCTTAAAGGCCTTGGCCCTGACCCCGGCCCCGCGGAGTCAGAAGCCATAGGCAGGGTCCGTATTTTCTAAAGTACGCCAAGTTCCCAATGGATGATGCTTGGCAAAGGGTATGAGGAGTTCAGCTGTAGCACCAGAAGCAAGACGCTGGTCAAGGAGAAGGTCCTCTGAGGACTTGACCTGGAGAGATTTGGGGAAAGAAGGACCACAAAGGGCATGTGAGTTGGCGATGAAAGGCTGAACTGGGGATGAAACCAGTGGCCCTGGTTTAGAAGACAGGATAAGGCATCAGGGAAGTCCAGGGTCAGGGATTGTAAAAAATGGGAAGGATAGCACCCTAGAGTGTACCGCCTTTGGTAAACTGCAGCCCTGAGGAAATTGCCTTGTTCTAAAGGTGTGGAAGATTAGACTACGTCCCAAACTTGCACTTTTCTTTTTTTTCAGTCGCTCTGTTGCCCAGGCTAGAGTGCAATGACGCGATCTCGGCTCACTGAACCTCTGCCTCCTGGGTTCAATCGATTATCCTGCCTCATTCTCCCAAGTGGCTGGGATTACAGACGCCTGCCACCATACCCGTCTAATTTTTATATTTTTAGTAGAGACAAGGTTTCACCATGTTGGTCAGGCTGGTCTTGAGCTGCTGGCCTCAAGTGATCCGCCCGCTTCTGCCTCCCAGAGTACTGGGATTACAGGCGCCTGCCACCAAACCCAGCTAATTTTTGTATTTTTAGTAGAGAGAGTTCAGGGGTTTCAACATGTTGCCCAGGCTGGTCTCGAACTTGTGAGCTCCAGAGATCCGCCCACCTCAGCCTCCCAAACTGCCAGGATTATGGGCGTGAACCACAGCACCTGGCATTGTATGGATTTCTCTAACGTTGGTTTGCCTCTTTTCATTAAGTGCAACAAAAGAACCTCAAAGAAAACCCAGTCTCTGCCGTTTCTATTTAAGTAATTCTACCCAAAACAGGAAATAGGAAGATATAGAAGGTATGAAATGAGTTTTGTATTAAAGCATGTGTTTGCCTCTCTCAGAAAACTTAGATAATTAAGGATGTGAGGTAAGAAAAGACCTGAACATTTGGAGAGTACATTGTTTCCTATTCATCTGCTCCGTATCAACCCTAAAGTGTTAACACTTTTTAGAAAACAAGTTTGGCCTGGTACAGTGGCTCACGCCTGTAATCCCAACACTTTGGAAGGCAGAGGTGGGCAGATCACGAGGTCAACATGGTGAAACCCCGTATGTACAAAAAATACAAAAATTAGCCGGGCGTGGTGGCACGCGCCTGCACACTCAGTTACTCTGGAGGCCGAGGCAGGAGAATCACTTGAATCCGGAAGGTGGAGGTTGCAGTGAGCCGAGATTGCGCCACTGCATTCCAGCCTGGCGACAGAGTGAGACTCCGTCTCAAAAAAAAAAAAAAAAAACAGGTTCTCGGCTGGGTGCAGTGACCTCGCTCCTGTAATCCCAGCAGTTTGGGAGACCAAGGCAGGCAGATAACTTGAGCTCACGAGTTAGAGACCAGTCTGGAAACATGGCATAACCCGTTTCTACAAAACAAAAAAATTAGCTGGGCATGGTCGTCCCTGCCTATAGTCCCAGCTGCTAGGAAGGCTGAGGTGGGAGGATCGCTTGAGCCCGGGAAGCAGAGGTTGCAGTGAGCCAAGATTGTGTCATTGCACTCCAGCCTGGGCCATAGAGTACTGCTTGGTTTCCCCAGCTTGACTGTATTTATACTTGGGACCAATAATTACTTGTGGGGTGCTGTCCTATACGTGGCAGTATATTTAGCAGCATTTTCCCTCCCAAGTTGTGACCCTAAAACTCTTCAGGTTTTGTGAAGTGTCCTTGGAGGCCAAAATCTACTCCCAGTCCAGTTTAGAACCACTGGAGTACAGAATAAAGTCCATTGCCATTAACCTGGCTTTTCAGATCTTTCATTATCTATTCCCAACCCACCTTTCCTAGAATTTGGCTCAGCCTAAGAGAACTGCCAATGCAGGAATCCTTTCTTTGGCTTCCTCCACAGATTATGATCTTTTATTGACTCTTCTTGGACATTTTCAGGGATGAAAGAAATTTAAAATCTTTCCTTTGCAAGAAAATCCTTATCTCTCCAATGTCTTCCTGCTTAAAATGTGCATTTGCTGAGTCCAATTCACACTCCTGGAGGTGTAAAAAAAAAAAAAAATTAATCCTTTTTCCACTTGTGAGCACCGCTGAGTAAAAATCATAATCACATTTATATTTTTCACCTTTCTCTATGATCATGAACTTTCTACTGTCCTCTCAACAATATCAAGCCTGACAATGTCCTGCTTAAAACGTACTACTCAGAACCGAACACAGTATTCTGGATGTGCATCATACTATGTTAGCACATGGTATATTATAGTGTTAGTTGCACGCTTGTTCATCTTCCTTGACTCTGAGCTTGAAGGCAAGAACAAAGTCTTAGTCACTTAGGTTGTTTCATCTTTGCAATACTAGCACAGTGCTTGGCCCTTAGTTCAATTGGTGTACAAAAATGTTGATGGAATGTGGTACCTCTTTAAGATAGCATTCTATTACCTTTAGGGGCAGATAGAGTACACTGTTACCTTATATTGACTTTGTGATAACTAAACCTGTATGTTTTATACATCTATATCAGAGGTTGGCAAACTTTTTTGTTAAAGGCCAAATAGTAAATAAAATTTTCGGTTTTATGGGCCTTATAGTCTGTCACGGTGACTCAGCTATGGCACTGTAACATATAATCAGCCATAGACAATATTATAAGCAAATGAGCATAGCTACTTTCCATTATAATGCATGAACATTAAAATCTGAATTTCATGTAATTTTTATGTGTCAGAATATTTTAATTTTTAAAAAATATTATTAAATGTTAAAACACATTTTTAGCTTGTGGGCCATACAAAAACAGATGGCAGGCTTGATTTGGCTCACAGGCAGTAGTTTGCTAACTCCTGATTTAGACCAGCCCTCGTATGATTGAGTTTTTTCAAGACTGAGTATAGGCTTTTACTTTTATCCTTATTAAATATCTTACTCATTGCAAGCCATCTTTCTAGCTTGCTCAGTTTTTTTGAATGCTAATTCTGTCACCCAGCATATCAGCTGACATCCCAGCTTTGTGTCTGCTAAATTGATAAGCATACTTTGTACATCTTAATTAATAAAAATGTTAAGTAGGAAATCACGTCCTCCACAAATTTGTTTTCTTCCATTAATCATCATTCTTTTGAGTACTACCTGTCACCCAATTCATGTTTCTCTGTCAGGTCCACAGGGTATCTTGCGAGGCTTTGTCTGAAGCTTTGTTGAAATGTTTAGAACATGCTCCAAATGGGTAGGAACTCCATCAGACAAACAGAAATATATAGTTTTGATATAGCCTGTAAACTAATGTTACTCCTGCTTCCAATTTTAGTACTTCGTTGTTTACATTTTCAAGGCCACCATTTTAATAATGAAATTTAATAATTGTAGGGTTTTGTTGAGAATTAGCATCCAAGTTTATCAATCTGCATTTATAGAATTCACTGTGTTTCTCATCTTAAAACTAAGGGTTGCCGGGTGCGGTGGCTCAAGCCTGTAATCCCAGCACTTTGGGAGGCCGAGGCGGGTGGATCACGAGGTCAGGAGATCGAGACCATCCTGGTCAACATGGTGAAACCCCGTGTCTACTAAAAATACAAAACATTAGCTGGGTGTGGTGGCGTGTGCCTGTAATCTCAGCTACTCAGGAGGTTGAGGCAGGAGAATTGCCTGAACCCCGGAGGCGGAGGTTGCAGTGAGCCGAGATTGCGCCATTGCACTCCAGCCTGGGTAACAAGAGTGAAACTCCGTCTCAAAAAAAAACAAAAAACTAAGGGTTGACAGTGTTCATCCCACACTGCCCGGTTCTCTGGTATCAATAGTGTTAAAAGCTGTGATAAGATTGGTAGAGAAAACAGGCACAAAAAGATTTAGAATATATGTGTTTTTTCTTGCTAATGTTACCACATTTTTAATACTATCAATATTAGTTTTTAAAGTAAAATAGAAAGTAAACTTTATGCTAATAAAAACTAAGAATAAATGCATTTTAATAAAATACTGATATTGGCCAGGCACAGTGGTACATGCCTTTAATCCCAGCACTTTCAAAGGCTGAGGCAGGAGGATCACTTGAGGCCAGGAGTTTTAAAACTGGCCTGTGCAGCATAGCAAGACCCTATCTCTACAGATTTTTTTTTTTTTTTTTTTTTTTTTTTAAAAATATTTTTTTTTTTTTTTTTTTAAGATTCTTCCTAAGGTTTTTTTTTTTTTTTTTTTGGGACATAGTCTCTCTCTGTTGCCAGGCTGGAGTGCAGTGGCATGGTCTCGGCTCACTGCAACCTCTGCCTCCTGGGTTCAAGTGATTCTTCTGCCTCACCCTCCCCAGTTGCTGGGATTACAGGTGTACACCACCATGCCCAGCTAATGTTTGTATTTTTAGTAGAGATGAGGTTTCACCATGTTGGCCAGGATGGTCTCAATCTCTTGACCTCATGATCTGTCCCCCTCGGCCTCTACAGAATTTTTTTAAAAATTAGCCGAGTATCATGGCATACCTGTAGTCCCAGCTGCTTGGGAGGCTAAGATAGGAGGATCACTTGAGCCCTAGAGTTCAGGGCTGCAGTGAGCCATGATTGCTCCAGTGCAAACCAGCCTTGGTGACAGTGAGACTCTGTCTCTAAAAAAGTAAAATAATGAAAAAATTTTAAAAATTTAGGCCGGGCGCGGTGGCTCAAGCCTGTAATCCCAGCACTTTGGGAGGCCGAGGCGGGTGGATCACGAGGTCAAGAGATCGAGACCATCCTGGTCAACATGGTGAAACCCCGCCTCTACTAAAACTACAAAAAAAATTAGCTGGGCATGGTGGTGCGTGCCTGTAATCCCAGCTACTCAGGAGGCTGAGGCAGGAGAATTGCCTGAACCCAGGAGGCGGAGGTTGCGGTGAGCCGAGATCGCGCCATTGCACTCCAGCCTGGGTAACAAGAGCGAAACTCCGTCTCAAAAAATAAAAAATAAAAAAAAAATAAAAATTTAAGTAGGGAAATTTACCTTGCCAGATGTTAACAGTTTATACCCTCTTCTATCATTTTGCTTTTAGTCTGATCTTTATATTTAGAATGTGTCTCTGGAAAACAGATTTAGTTGTTGTTGTTTTTTTTTTAATTTAATCTAATAATTGAGTGTTTAGTTTATTAACGCTTAATGGAATAATTGATGTATTTTTGCCTAAATCTGTGTTCTTGCTATTTGTTTTCTGTTTGTCCCATTTTTCTTCTTTTGTTTCTCTTTTTCTGCCTTCTTTCGGATTCATCGAGTATTTTTATGGTATTCCATGTTGTTCTCCTCTGTTGACCTTCTTCCTGTATCTCAGTGTTTTGTTTTTTTGTTTGGTTAGGGTAGTCAGGGATTTATTTTGTGGAGCAGAGTAGCAGAAATAGTCACGTCTTATAGATTATCCCTGGGAGAGCTTTCTTATGTAAACAAACATGTTAGAGTCTCTCCTACATGTTAAATAGCTTGGGTGTTAAACTATCTGCTAGGCAACAGCCTTTCCTTCTCACTTGGTTTTCTCAGATAAAGTTTAGAGAATCAAGAAGTTGCTTTTTTTTGTTATTTTTTAATTTGCAGGTTAAACACTTTAAGATGAGAAAAACTGAACTGTGTCTGAGCTCTGAAGGGTCCGAAGTGATTTTAGCTACATCAAGTGATGAAAAACACCCACCTGAAAATATCATTGATGGGTAAGAGTTACTATAGCTTGTTGTTTTCCGTCTTAAGTCAGTGAATCCCTTGAGTATTTGGACTGTGTTTTATAACAGCTTGCCCTATTAAACAGAGTTTAGTAAATGTTTGGTGGATTACCTGATATGCACTTTTGGTACCATTTCTGAAACTAATTCACTTGTGTATATTTAGGTTTTTGATTCTTTTCTTTATAATTCCTAAACTGAACTCTTCATACAAATAGGTTTTTTTAGAAGTGGTTTACCAAGGCAAAAACACAACAACTTCATTTTATGGAAGTATGAATTTTAAGGTCTGTTTATGGTTTTACTCCAGGTTTTTCTTGGAATAAGAATGTAAATATTGTAACTTCCTGTTTACTACCTATTTCCTTACTGGTCTAAGTAACATCTTTGCAGAACTGAATACTTCATTCCCTGCTATCATGTATTGTTTGCTTCTCCCCTTTTTGATAGCCTTCCAATTTCTTCTCTTCACTGTGCTAGAGCTTTTTCTAGGTAGATATTTTTCTAAATATTGTTTTTAGACTTCTAATTCCAAGAAAAAGCAGTTAATGGGAGAACTCCTTTTTTAATAGTTCGGGCTTATTACTTTCTTGAACCCTTTCTTGGTATACGTGCAATGACTGGAGTTTGACTCCTAGAACCATCTGATTTTAGGGCTAGAGGGACTTATAGGTTTATTTTGCCAAAACCCTTTATTTTAGACTTGTGGTAAGAGAGGTCTAAAGAGGTTAAGTACGGCCGGGCGCGGTGGCTCAAGCCTGTAATCCCAGCACTTTGGGAGGCCGAGGCGGGTGGATCACGAGGTCAAGAGATCGAGACCATCCTGGTCAACATGGTGAAACCCCATCTCTACTAAAAATATAAAAAAAAAAACATTAGCTGGGCATGGTGGCGCGTGCCTGTAATCCCAGCTACTGAGGAGGTTGAGGCAGGAGAATTGCCTGAACCCAGGAGGCGGAGGTTGCAGTGAGCCTAGATCGCGCCATTGCACTCCAGCCTGGGTAACAAGAGTGAAACTCCGTCTCAAAAAAAAAAAAAGAGGTTAAGTACTACTTTTAATTATTGAAGGCAGAACCAGTTGTAACAGAGGTTTCATGATTCTTTATATATCTTGAAGCCCACATATCTGGATGAAATTCTAGCAACTCAGCCTCTTCCTTGAAGCCTAGTTGTAATCTTTATGACAACTGACTTTTCTGCTCAGGTAGGATTCATCTATCTGCTGGGCTCCTATAACATTTGGTATATACCTCTGTTGCCTTACTTTTTCCTTTATTGTATTGTTTACTTTTACTGTTTGTTCCTTCTCTGGACTGTGAATTCCTGGAAGTCGGAGACCATTTCTCTGAGTCAAACTGGACTAATATTGGAAAGTAACCATAGTCTACACACACACACACACACACATAAAAACACGTTTATATGCATATATTACTATACTGTTGCATGTAGGGCTTTATAATTTCATAGATAGTATGTCAGTTGACCCTCACAGTAATCTTGGGGAATAAGAAGCACAAAAAAGTACTTACAACTCCATTGTAAAGATGAAGAAAAGAATGATCAGGGCCGGGCGTGGTGGCTTACGCCTGTCATCTTAGCACTTTGGGAGGCTGAGGTGGGTGGATCACAAGGTCAGGAGTTCGAGACCAGCCTGACCAACATGGTAAACCCCGTCTCTACTAAAAAATATAAAACTTAGCAGGATGTGGTGTTGTGTGTCTATAATCCCAGCTACTCAGGAGGCTGAAGCAGGAGAATCACCTGAACCTGGGAGGCGGAGGATGCAGTGAGCCAAGATCGCGCCACTGCACTCCAGCCTGGGTGACAGAGTGAAACTCCGTCTCAAAAAAAAAAAAATGATCAGATGACCTGCTCAAAATAAAAATGACTTGCTCAAAATTACACAGATAAGCAAGTGGCAGAATCAACTGACACTTAATGTCTTCTAACTTGTACTTCAGGGATCTTTGTGCTACACTAGGTTAACTCAAACTTAGTTTGTATCAAAAATACAATACCTGCTTTTTGCCTGTGTCTCTTTTTCTTCTTCTTAGTTGTTTACTTCCTGAAATTTAGGTAGTAGTTACTATCCTACTCTGACTTGGAGTAGAAAAATTAATATGGGAACTGCTTTAAGGAAATATAGAACTATGGAGATTTGCCTTAAGTTTTTTGCCAGAAATGGAGGGCTTTCCAGAAACACTCCTGGATTCTGATTGGAGATAGATTCGTTTTTGTTTTCTTTTTTTTTTTTCAGGTGGGATCTTGCCTCTGTTGGCCAGGCTGGAGAGCAGATGTCTGATATCGGCTCACTGTAACCTCCGTCTCCCAGGTTCAAGCAATTCTCCTGCCTCAGCCTCCCAAGTAGCTGGGAGTACAGGCACGCACCACCACGTCCAGCTAATTTTTGTATTTTTTTAGTGGAGACGGGGTTTCACCATGTTGGCCAGGATGGTCTCGATCTCTTGACCTCGTTATCTGCCCGCCTCGGCCTCCCAAGGTGCTGGGATTATAGGCGTGAGCCACCGCACCCAGCCGATAGATTAGTTTTCCAAGGCAAAATCAATTTACCTTGTAGTAACTTGGTGATCTTTCTCTCAAGTGAGTGTGTTTTTGTGTTTATAGAACATTAGGATTAGCTATCATATATCGCAATTAATATTTTAGGCTCTGTCAGTGCATTTTAATGAATAAGGACATAATATTTTTTAGATGAGACAAAAACTCTTAGTGCAGAAAAACATATGAAATAAAAGTAGTTACCATCCTGGTAACTGAACAGAGTACATTGGGGACTTTTAATCCATATACAGTTCCAGAAAATATAATTAGACTGTATATTATAGACACTGAAAGTTATTTTCTGGCCAGGCACAGTGGCTCACACCTATAATCCCAGCACTTTGGGAGGCTGAGGTGGGCAGATCAGTTGAGGTCAGGAGTTTGAGACCAGTCTGGCCAACTTGGCGAAACTCCGTGTCTACTAAAAATACGAAAAAATTAGCCAGATGTGGTAGTGCACACCCGTAGTCCCAGCTACTCAGAGGCCGAGGCATGGGAATTGCTTGAACCCAGGAGGTGGAGGTTCAGTGAGCTGAGATCATGCCACTGTACTCTAGCCTGACTGACAGAGCAAGACTCTGTCAACTTTTTTTGAAAAACAAGAAAAGTTATTTTCTGTGCAGAAGTTGCTTTATCTAAATGGAGTAACCTAGAATTATTTGGAGAAAACAGTGCTATAAATGTGTCCTACAGGATAATGGAGTATTGTTTTATGGCCCTGCTCCAAACTCTCCATTCCTTCAGAAATAAGAGTTAAATAAATAGCTAGGCATAGTGTCTGAGGCAGGAGGATAGCTTGAGGTCAAGAGTTTGAGACTAGCCTGGCAACATAGCAAGACTGCATCTCTAAAAAAAGAAAATGATTATACTTCTGCTTTTCCTCTCCCCTCTGTGTTTAATGTGTCAATGAAAAAGGGGGCAAGAGATTCAACACTAGGAAAAAAGTCAAGAAAAAAGGAAGAGAGAGAATCAGTCCTTTTGGTATAGTAGAGAATAATACTATATTTAGAATTAAAATTCCTGGGTAAGTGAATTATGTGTTATCTTGGTCAAAGAGTATAGCCCAGGCACAATGGCTCATGCCTGCAATCCCAGCACTTTGGGAGGCTGAGGCAGGCGGATCACGAGGTCAGGAGTTTGAAACCAACCTGATCAACATGGTGAAACCCCATCTCTACCAAAAATACAAAAATGAGCTGGGCATCGTGATACATGCCTGCAATCCCAGCTACTCAGAAGGCTGAGGCAGGAGAATCGCTTAAACCCAGGAGGCAGAGGTTGCAGTGAGCCAAGATCATGCCACTGCACTCCAGCCTAGGTGATAGAGCGAGACTCCATCTCAAAAAAAAAAAAAAGAGTATATAAATATATTACTCTTTAAGCCTCATTTACTGATCTGAAAAATGAGGATAATTCCACCAGAAAATCACGAGATAATCTATATAAAATAGGTGTTAGCTATAAATTCGTTTTTAAAAGAAAACGACTACTACTTTGGTGACTTCCTTATACATATTAAAAGGATTTAGTTAGTTGTCATTTTAAAATTCAAGTGTATCTCTACATGATATTTTGTTATTCTATTGTCATGTTAATTGAAAGCATCCGAAGCAAAACATGGGGCAATTAAAATTCATTTAACAAATTTCAATGAGTAAAATTTAAAACCATAAATATGAAAGGAGTTTGTAAAATATTAAGCATTTTATTAAAAACCTGTAATTTTGAGTTAGGAGATCTGGCCTTGGCTGGGCACAGTTGTTCACACCTATAATCCTAGCATTTTGGGAAGTCAAGTTGGGAGGATCACTTGAGCCTGGAAGTTTGAGGCTACAATGAGCTATGATTGTGCCGCTGTACTCCAGTCTAGATGACAGAACAAAACCCTGTATCTTAAAAAAGAAGTAGCTCTGGCGTTTGTTTTTTTCTTGATATCAACCTTATTCACATATTCACATACCATACAATTCACCCACTTAGAATGTGCGTTTCAGTGGCTTCCAGCCTATTAACAGAATTATGCAGCCATCTCCACAATCAATCTTAGAACATTTTCATCATTCTAAAAAGAAACCCCACAGTTATTATCAGTCACCCTGTATTTTACCATCCGTACTAGCCCTAGGCAAGCATTAATCTACGTTGTTTCTGTACATTTTATGTATTGAGACATTTCATATAGAATCATACACATGTGGTCTTTTGTGACTGGTTTCTTTCTTTTATTGTTTGAGACAGAGTCTTACTCTGTCATCCAAGCTGGAGTGCAGTGGTGTAATCTCAGCTCACTCTAACCTCTGCCTCCTGAGTTCAAGTGATTCTCATGCCTCAGCCTCCCGAGTAGCTGCAACTGCAAGTGTGTACCATCACACCCAGCTAATTTCTGTATTTTTAGTAGAGACAAGGTTTCACCGTGTTGGCTACAGTGGTCTTGAACTCCTGACCTCAAGCAACCTACCTGCCACAGCCTCCCAAAGTGCTTGGATTACAGGCATGAGCTACCACACCTGGCCTGGTTTCTTTCATTTACATGTTTTCAAAGTTGACCCATATTGTAGCACGTATCAGTACTTCATTCCTGTTTATTGTCAAGATTTCATTGTATGGATATAGCACATTTTATTTACGCATTCATCAGTTGATGGACATCTGCTTTGTTTCTACTTTTGAGCTGAATTTTCCCTGATTTTATTCTAAAATACCAACTTACAGATCCAAAAAACTCAGCAAGACCTAAGCTGAATAAATACAGAGATTGTATCTTAGTCAAACTGCTGGAAAAGTAAAAGAAAAAAAAATTAAAATAGCTGGAGGGAAATAAAATATATACAGAGGAACAACAGTATTAGTGACAGCTGACTTCATATCACAAACAGTGGAAGCCAGACAACAATGGAGCAATATCTTTCAAATACTAGGAAAGGGAGAAACAAGCAAATATTTAAAAACCTGTCAATCCAGAGTTCTGTGTCTAGCTAAACGATCTCCCAAAAATGAAGATAGAATAAAGGCATTTTTCATCACAAGTAGACCTGTATCATAAGGAATGCTAAAGGAAATTCTGCAAGTTGAAGAGGTAAAATTCCAGCTGGAAAATCAAACCTGTAAGAAGAAGTTAAGTGTACTGGAAATAGTAAATATTTGGGTAAATATAAAAGACTGCCATTTTTCCTCTTTTAATTTTTTTGAACAATAACTGACCACTTAAGGAAAAAAATTGTATTATGGAATTTATTGTGTATGTAAAATATGTGACAACAAAGGCACAAAAGTGATGCTCAGTGTAAATTGACTATCATGAGGTTATTATGTTGTAACTTAGCAATGGTTTCAAAAATTTCTAATAAAGGTATAGCTAAAAAAATAGAAGAATTAAACGGAATTTTTAAAAAAATTTACTCAGAAACAGTAAAAGGAAGAAAAGGACAAGAATAGATGGGAGGGACAAAAATGAATAGCAAGATGGTAGATTCACACCCAACCATATCAGTGGTTATACTAAATGTCAGTGGGGCTAAACACTCCAATTAAGCATCAGAGATTGTCAGACTGGATAAAAAGCCAAGACCCAAATATATATCATCTAAAAGATATGCACTTTAAATATAAAGATAAGAATAGGTTGAAAATAAAAGAATGAAAAAAGATGCATCCTGTAAACAGTCGACATAAGAAAATCGCTCTAGCTATATTCATATCAGACAAAGTAGAATGTAAGACAAGGAGCATTACCAGAGACAAAGGGGACATTTTATAATGTTAGAGGGTAAATTCATTAGGAAGAGAGGATAATCCTAAGTGTATATGGACCTAATAATAGTTCTTTAAAATACATAAAGCAAAATCTGACAGCTGAAAGGGAGAAATAGACAAATTCACAATTATAGTTAGAGATTTTAATACCCTTTTCTCAGTAATGATAGAACAATTTGGCAGAAAATCAATAAAGACAAAGATGATCTGAATAGTATCATAACCTCGACTTAGTTGACAGTTATAGAACACTATAATCAACAACATGGAACAAGAACATATTGATGGGTTGGGTGTGGTGGCTCATGCCTGTAATCCCAGCACTTTGGGAGGCCGAGGTGGGTGAATCACCTGAGGTCGGTAGTTCGAGACCAGCCTCACCAACATAGAGAAAGCCTGTCTCTACTAAAAATACAAAATTAGCCAGGCATGGTGGCGCATGCCTGTAATCCCAGCTATGCGGAGCCTGAGGTAGAATTGCTTGAACCCGGGAGGCAAAGGTAGTGGTGAGCTGAGATCACACCATTGCACTCCAGGGTGGGCAATAAGAGTGAAACTTAATCTCAAAGAAAAAAAAAAAAAATGGAGTGCAAATAGTACAACCACTTTGGAAATCTGGCAGTTTCTTATAAAGTTAAATATACTTTTACCCTGTGTGCCAGCAATTTCACTCTTAGTAATATTATACCCAGAGAAATGAAAACATGTTCACAAGCACCTGTACAAGCATATCTATAGCAGCTTTGTTCCTAATAGTAAAAAAGTGGAAGCAATTACAATATCCAACAAAATATCAAACAAAATCATGAATAAAAACATTGTGGCATAGTCTGTGGTGATAGAAATCAAAGCAGTGGTTGTCAAAGGAAGGTAGGGATTTCTGGAAGGAAAGATAAGGGAAATTTCTGGAGTTATGGAAATGTTATATCTTCACTGGAGTATTGGTTACCTAAGCATGTACATTTATCGAAACTGATTAAGTTATGCACTTAAGGTGAATTTCACTGTAGGTAAATTTTATTTCCAAAAAAAGAAAAAGCTTATGTAGTCGAAATGATTATTTCTGTAGTCAAAACTATATATACTATTTTGCCTATATGTGACTTAAAATTGAGTTCACGTTTTAATTTTTGTTTGAACAAACATTTAGGTTGTCTCTACTATGGGTGAGCCATTGTAGCAGTTGTAGGGTTACAAAGATGAGTAAGGGAAGGAAGCTGGGCTCAAAGAGCTCAGCATTCAGCAGGAGTCATCGAAACAGGAGATTAAGTGCCAGTGTAGAAATGGAGGCTGAGTGTGAGATAAGTGCAAAAGAGGGAGGCAGTGATTCTGAATTGGTGGAGTTAGATAAATGAGACCAAAAAGTGAATGAACTTAAGGGAAAGAAGGGTTTTTCAGGTTAAAAAAAAACACTCATGAATGAACCAAGGTACAGAAGCATAAGCCTGCATTAATGTATTTGCAGAATTTTAAGTGGCCCAATGTGACCACAGTAATGGAAGAGAATATACCTTAATTATGGAACCAGATTGTACAGTCTTAAATGCCATACAAAGGAGTTTAGAATTATAGGCAATAAGGGAGCACTGAGGCTTTTAAATAGGAGTGATATCTATTCCGTTTCTGTGTTTTAGAAAAGAATACCTGGTAGTAGTAAAGAAGAATTATTAAAATTAGAGATTAGACATTATAGGCAGAATTAACAGAAAGGAGATGTAAGAGTCCAGTAGTCATTTAATTTTAAAAAACAGGCATTCAATACAATTTTATGATTAACGATTTATATTTGGCTATTCTTTTTTTTTTTTTAATTAACAATAGGAATCCAGACACATTTTGGACCACTACAGGAATGTTTCCCCAGGAGTTCATTATTTGTTTCCACAAACATGTAAGGATTGAAAGGCTTGTAATCCAAAGTTACTTTGGTAAGCAAATCTTACATTAATTTTTTCTTTTTTCTTTTTTTTTTTTTGGTGTTCCAGGTAAGGCTTATATGTTAATTTTCATTATCCTTTAATTTTTTCCACAGGCAGAAGGCATGTATGTAAACTTTTGGCAAAACACTAGTTTTTCTTTATAGCATGGAATCCAGTTTTATTGCTGGGCTGAAAGGGTGGGGATTATGGGTTAACTGCCTTGAGCTCAATTGGCCTCTCTGAAACTGTAAATTTGAAACCCTTCCAAAGCACATAATAATTTCCATGCAGTTTACTATGTGAAAGTCTTTGACAAAAGGCCCTATTAGGAACGTTAGACACCGGTTTGCCAGAACAAGTTTCATGACATCTTTATTCTAGATTCATTTGCCCAGGAGTTCTTTGGTTGAAAATCTGATAACCCTGATTATTTACATTGGATAGTTGTGGTTCTTCTATTACTAGTGGCATTTTCTGAGGAATTTAGGAGGAGAATCTCCCTTGGGACATCATTCTAATCCTATTTGTCTATTTAAGAATAAAATTATCAGATAAAATCATGGCAGGAAACAGAATACATCCTAGATGGTTCAAATGAAGAGGCTCTATTGATGGGGCTACTTGCAAAATTATGGCTTGGGTTAAGGGAACAAACAAGGCAAGGAATGATGAGGCCCTCGTAACTAACTATAGCAGGAAGCCGTGACCAGCCCTGGGAAGGAAATAGTGTTATCAGAGATCTGTGAGAGCTGGAGCCTGTGTGAAAGGACCTGACTAATAGGAGCTGTAGGCAGGAGAAACTGTCAAAGATGTGGCACTGAAGCAGGTAGGGAGTGGAGATAATAAAATAGGCTGATCTTACTTCCCCATACCAGTCTCCCCGTGGTGTCTCCCACTGACCAAATCCAATAAGACGCCAGTAGGTAAGTGAATCCATGTGATGTAGTCCTCAGAGGTTAGCTTCTCATGGCACAAAACAGGACAAAGAGGAGGAGGAATGCATCTGGAGTGGTAGAGACTGGACTGGGGACAGTGGAGAAAAGACTGTATTCCTGTTAAGTCTCTCTTTTGTCATTAATTATGGAGGCTCTGGAGTCAGACCTAAAGTTTGAATTCTGTTTCTGGCACTTACTAGCTGTATGTCATTGAACACCTTCCTTGGCTCCACAAAACCTGTTTTCTCACCAATAAAGTGGGTTAAAATATTTTTCTCATGCTATTGTAGTCAAAAGTGAATGGATAAATATGTCTGACTCATCATAGGCTCTCCAGGAATGTTTATGATCAAGACACCAATAGTAGTATAGCCAGAACACAAAAAAAATCTGAATAAAGCCAAATTCAAAAAAAGCTCTACTTGTTCTGCGTTGTATGGTTGCAAACATTTGGAAGATCAGTTACACAAGACTATTATTTTACTATAGGGTTTTCTTGGAAAACACAGAGTAACTTCCGTGATGTTTCTGATCTCAGTGCTCTGTGTAATTCCATTGTGCATGACAATCTCAGGCAGAGGGAAAAAGAAATATAGGTACAAAAACATAGAACCAGATTAACACTTTACTCACTTTGTTTACAATGTCAGTACGGACCTTGAAGATTGAAAAGAGCACATCTGAAGAGCCAGTTGATTTTGAGCAATGGATTGAAAAAGGTATGTGTTTCACCAGCATTGTTCTGAGCATGAAGGAGTAGATAATATTCCTTTGACTCTACATTTCCTGTCTAGCTGTACTTTGGTGAAAAAAAATGACTTTAATGATCCTGATCCTTGTGACACATTTAGGGCCCAGAAAGACCCAGGTTTGAATACAAGGCTGCTTCTTCATTTACTGGTTATATAACTATTAACATGTGACTTAATTTTTCTCAGTTTCAGAATCCTTGTCAGGAAAATGGTGATGCTACCTATCATTTAAGATTTTGGTGAACTAGTGTTTAGCATATAATAGACAATTAATATTAGTTTCTCATCTTTTTTCCATTCTTCCTAATTAATGGCACTATTTAAATATCACCATCAGAGTTGATAGCCTCTAATTAAACACAGCATCTTACCTTCATGTATCTATCTCTTTTCCCTCTCAAAACACCATGAAAATAATAGTAAAGGAATAAAAAGAGGCATAAACCTACAAGGACAAATAAACAACCAGCAAACTGAAGCAAATATGAGAAATCAGTGTATATTACGATAAAGGGAAAGCAGATGGAGGATTAGTACCTTCTTTGTTTTGTTTTGTTTTGTTTTTATTTTTCTTCGGAGTAGTACCTCCTTTAGCTGAATGAACTAGGTTATAACCTAAGTTCTTACCAAGGAGCATATCAACGAGAAGCAAGCTGCTTTGTCACACAGAACCCCGGAAAGGCAACAGGTGCCATGGGAAGTATGAATTGAGACCTGGGTCAGAAAACAAGGGTAATTAGTTGAAAATCTATATACCGAGTAGTCACACTCTAGGTACCTTTTTCCCATCCTATAAAGCTAGGTGACCACTCCCCTCTCCCACAGACCTCCACCATCACCCTCAAGAGATAATTGGAAATACAGACTGTTGAGGCTCAGAAGACCAGGTGTAGTAGACAGTGAGTGAGACGTGGAGTTGAAAATAGGATACTTGTGGAAGCCTCCATCCTGTATACTGGTGTTAACATCAGCAGCCAAGAATATACCCTCAGCTAGGAGATTGCAACATTCATCTCTGAAGAAATTAAATGGCCCCAGAAAAAAAGACCTATTGATACTGACAAAGGCTAGCTCATTTCTGGTTACCCTATTGAAGTCCAGTAATTAACAAGTGTGGCTCATGCACACAGTTTTCAAACATCCACAAGTAAAAAAAGACAGAGATCACCAGACATTAATGAAGTCCTCAAACCCTGAATATAATCAAGCTTTTAGCTCTAATTTCCAATCTATAAGAAATATAGAGGATAGAGGTACAAATTAAGTGAAACCACAAATAGGCAAGGTGATAAAATCTAGAATGTGGGGCTGGGCACAGTGGCTCATGCTTGTAATCCCAACACTTTGGGAGGCAGAAGGAGGAGGATTGCATGAGCCCAGGAGTTCAGGACTGGCCTGGGAAATGTGACAAGATGTTGTCTCTACAAAAAAATTTAAAAATTAGCTAGGCATGGTGACACATGCCTGTAATTGCAGCTACTTGGAGGCTGAGATGGAAGGATCACTTGAGCCCAGGAGGTTGAGGCTGCAGTGAGCTGTGATCACACCACTGCACTTTAGCCAGGGTGACAGAGCAAGACCCCATCTCTAGAAAAAAAATCTAGAATGTGAGACATTGTATAGGACAATTGTACTGATCTCTTCAGTAAGTCAAAGGCATTAAAAAAATGTGTGTGGGGAGAGAAAGCAGTTCAAAGTTAAAAGAGACTTAATTCCGATTTTAATAAACCAAATATAAGAAGACAGGGACAATAGGGGAAATTTGAATAGAAATTGGGTTTCATATTATTTTAAAGCACTATTTTTAATATTGTGATAGTGGTATTATGGTTATATAAAGAATTATTTTTTAGAAATGGATAATTACGTATTTGGGGGAGACTGGGCTCACGCCCATAATCAGCATTTTGGGAGGCTAAGGCGGGCAGATTGCTTGAGCTCAGTAATTCAAGAGACTAGCTGGGCAACGTGGAGAAATCTTTTCTCCACAAAATATATATATATTTGCTGGTGCAATCTTTGATCACTGCAACTTCTGCTTCCCAAGTTCAAGCGATTCTCCTGCCTGAGTAGCTGAGATTACAGGCGTGCACCACAATGCCTGGTTAATTTTTGTATTTTTGGTAGAGACAGGGTTTTTGCCGTGTTGGCCAGGCTGGTCTCAAACTCCTGACCTCAAGTGATCCACCTGCCTCAGCTTCCCACAGTGCTGGGATTACAGGCGTGAGCCACCGCACCTGGCCTAAAATACTTTAGTGGAAAAAAAATGAATTCACTATGATGAAATGTTAGTAGTTATAAAATCTAGATTACAGGTACATGTGGGAGTTTTTTTATGTTCTCTCGTTAGTATGTTTGATATTTTTCAATTTTTTGTAACTAAAAAAACTAAGCAAATGAAAAAATCTGTTTTCTGGTGGTAGAGTTGTACAAGAAGGAAAATATGATTATAATTTATTACTTATTTCAGGAGTAAATAACATCTAGACAGACAAAGTAATGTAACCATCAAGTAGGATTTCAAATTTGAGAGGAGGGAAGGAGGGAGAAGTTGAAGGAGGAAGAAGGGATTTCAGTTTTAAAAAGCTAAAATTTCACCTACCATAATATAAAGTCAGTAAAAAATTAATAAACAAGAAAAGGAATAAAAACATATTGTAAATCCAGGGAAAACAGCTTAAAGAGTTGAAAATGTTTACTTCTAGGAAGCAGGACTAGAGGAGAAAGAAGGACTAAGGCATATTAATGATTTTTATGATTTCAGAAAAGAGGAAACAATCACAGAGACTTCTCTTTTAATACTATGGGGCTTTTACGTTATGTACATTATTTTATATAAAATTAATTTTAAATACTGACAGCTATCATAGCAATTAAATCTTTCATGTTTCTAAAAGAATGTTTGATTAACTCATGATCAAATAAATTAGTCTGCTCTCAAATTACATAAGGAAACTTTTTTAAAACTTGGATACCAGAAGATTACTTCATGGGCCACACAATTATGCATCATAGTGAGTTTACTGAGAAGCTCAGCTCTAGTTGTTACCCACGGGTATGGTAAAATGGCTTCTTTCTGTTGGCAGCTGGATCCTCAAATTTTCACTTCTTTTTTCTTGAAAAGGGGATTTTAAAAAATAAATGTTTTAAAAAGAAATTTTCACATTTTATCAGTTCCTTATATTCCTTTACTATCAATATGATTGACATTTGCATTTCCTTTTGCTTATACACACTAGGATATTTTATAGCTCATAAATAGTTCATCTTTTTTGCCTTGTATATCCTGTGTCTCTAGTTTTAAATCATATCTCAACATGCAAATGATGATTTGATGATTCCTTCAAATCTGGTCTTATAGTTTACCAGATATCATATTTTGCTGAACATAAATTTCAGTAACTATTCTCATGTATTTTGATCTTTAACTCATTTCTTCTGTTACATTTGTGTTTTAGATTTGGTACACACAGAGGGGCAGCTTCAAAATGAAGAAATTATGGTAAGTAAATATACTTCATAGAATGAAAAATCAACCTGCACAGTGTATTTAGACCTAAAACCTATCTCTGTAGTCATAGTTAATAAATATCTTTATAATATTATAGGTTCTGTACCTAAATCAACCCCTAGAGAAAGTTGTTCTTAATATAAGCTAAATGTACATTCATAAATTAGGCTGTTTCATAGAGAGTGACAGCAAGATAAAACAACTCACTTTTTGTTTTATTTTTCTCATTCATTTACTTTGAAGTATTTATTTGGTTTGCTTTCTTTCATTTGATTCCATAGGCATTTTAGAATAGGAATCAAAAAAGGTCGAGATGCCAAAATTGGATGTTAATTTAAGCATGAAAGGACAAGGGAGATTCAGATAAGGGGAAGTGGAGCATAGGATCAGGAACAAATAAGCCAAAGAGGGATGAGATGGAAAGAGAACCAGTGTTTTTCGATAACATTCCATCAGGCTTTGCTTGTCAAGTGAAATGAATGCCTGTTGATGAGGAAGCTGCTGCCTCATCAGGAGCTCCTCTCTTCCTGCTAGTTGGTCAGACCATGGTTTTAGACAAATACAAAAAGTAAAACAACTGAATATCTACTTATTAGGTGGGCACGATTTGTTTAATTAAGGTTTCTCTAAATGAGGGTTAAAATGGTACCTTATCCATTAAGTTTTATTTCTTCACAACTTGCCGGAAGCTGCTATTAAATCGGTGCATCCCATTAGTTCCTTTCTCTCCCACCAAAATTCACCCAATAACTGGGGAAGCCATTGAAGTCAAAATGACTAATGATACTGAATTTTATCTTTCTGTTTTTTCTGTCTTTATGGGTTCTGATTAGTAAGCTCCTGCTACCTTTTGCATATTGTTTCAGGACTCCACTGTGGAGGGTCACAGCATTATAGAAAATTTGGAAAATAGTAAGGGGGAATGGGAGGCTGAAAATCACCCATAATTTTATTACCCTGGCCAGGCGCAGTGGCTCACACCTGTAATCCCAGCACATTGGGAGGCCGAGGTGGGTGGATCATGAGGTCAGAAGTTCAAGACCAGCCTACCCAAGATGGTGAAACCCTGTCTCTATGAAAAATACAAACATTAGCCAGGCGTGGTGGCGGGCCCCTTTAATCCCAGCTACTTGGGAGGCTGAGGCAGAGAATTGCCTGAACCCAGGAGGTGGAGGTTGCAGTGAGCTGAGATTGTGCCACTGCACTCCAGCCTGGCGACAGAGTGAGACTCTGCCTCAAAAAAAAAAAAAAAAATGTTATTACCCTGTCACAAAAGCTTTTACTACATTTATTTTCTTCTAGTTGTTGACCATATGCTGTACATAGTTAGAATAATGATGTGTGGACAATTTTATGTCATTTTTTTTAATTAGTAGTATTATATAACAGGCTTCATAAGTACAATTTTAAAATAACATTTGCCAATTGGCATGCATTTAAACTAATTTTCTTTTTCCTCCTTCTGTCATTATAAGTAATACCTTTTTTCTTACTTTCTAAGATTAAATTTCAAGGAATACAATTACTGGGTGCCAGGGTATAAATATATTTATAACTTTAAAATATATTGGCTAATTGCTTTCCAGAGAAATTATATAAATATAAAAATGTAGTCATGCTTCAGGGTAGTATATTCAGAGGCAACGCTAACCAGAGGAAACTTCTTTATTATGAAAAATACTTTAGAAAGATACTTTTAAAAAATTAGAAATTGGACATGGTAGTTCATGCCTGTAATCCCAGCACCTGGGAAGCTGGAGCAGGAGTGTTGCTTGAGGCTAGTTCAAGACCAGCCTGGGCAACACACGAGACCCCGTCCCTGCAAAAAATGACAGTTGCAGTTTTTAGCTCCACTTGCTATTTTTCATCAAATCAAGGCTGGTATTTAACTGATATGTACCACAACTATTATATGTAGCTGGCCTTATATATTGTTATGTATTTAGAATATTACTCTTGCATCAAGCCCTTTCTTCTGATAACTGCTTGTTAACAGTTAACTAGCATTGCTAAAAGCATTTATATTTATTTTTTCCCCTACAGGCACGTGATGGCTCCGCTACTTACTTGAGATTCATTATTGTATCAGCCTTTGATCATTTTGCATCTGTACATAGCGTTTCTGCAGAGGGAACAGTAGTTTCAAATCTTTCCTAGTAATTATTACAAAATGCTCTTACATGATTTTTTAACAACATATTTATTTAAACAGAAAGCTGTCATTGATATACTTTATTAAAAGGATTTGTATCAATTTGTTTCCGTTTTTATTTACATTCTTTTAGATATTTGGGGTAAAGGAATTCTGTTTTTATCAGTCAGCAGTACTGGCCACCATGCAGGAAATGAGGAAGCTTTGGCTTCAGTATATAATTTAATCAAGGAAGTGACTACACATGAAAATTTAATGGGTAATACATTGCCTCTTCACAGCATCCACTATAGTGCTCTTCAGATCGTAGTGCATTAATTTTTTTAATTGATCGATTGATGCAAAGGGCTAAGTGAGCAATATAGATAGTAAACAATGTAAGAGGTCAGAAAAGAGAAAGTACTTATGGGAAGGTTTCACTGAAGTCATGGAACCTGAGCTGGGCCCAGTAAAACAAATAATTTTATTTTTTCTTCTAAAATCATTTGGAATGGCCAATTCCAATTTGTAAAAAAAAATTCTTTAAGTAGGGTCTGGCTGTCACTCAGGCTATAGTGCAGTGGCTCGATCTTGGCTCATTACAACCTCCATCCCCTGGACTCAAACCATCTTCCCACCCTAGCTTCCCAAGTAGCTAGGACTATGGGTACATAACACCACAACTGGCTAATTTTTCTATTTTTGTAGAGAAGGGGTTTCACCATGTTGCCCAGGCTGGTCTTGAACTCCTGAGCTCAAGCGATCTGCTCACCTTGGCCTCCCAAAGTGCTGGGATTACAGGCATGAACCACTGCACCCGTCCTTTACTTTTGTTTGTTCTGGTTTGAAAACCTCAGAGAAATGTTAGGAAACATATAATCTTACTTTTTGTTGTTTTTGAGGCAAGGTCTTGCTCTGTCACCCAGGCTGAAGTAAAGGCTGATCTCAAACTCCTGGGCTTAAGCAATCTGCCTACCTCAGCCTCCCAAAGCATTGGGATTACAGGCATGAACCACCACACGCGGCCCTCTTTCTCTTTTTTGTGAATACTATTTAAGTCCACTGAAAAGATCTAGAAGCAGTGACATCCAAATATCAGTGAGCACATCAAGTACCCAGATTGTGATCTCTAAATAGCTTTCCCATTAATTGGAGGAATGGATAATTCCAAAAGTGTGACAAGAAATAAATAAGATGAGCCTGGGACATTTGTTGTACCAGAAAGTAGAGACTAATGGATAATGTCAAGAGGATACAGAAACCAATATGAAAGCACTCTTATTAGCAAAAAAAGAGAGAAAAAAAAAAAGGGCAATTTGAGCAGGGAAAAAAAAAATTACAGTTGACTGCAACCATACTTAATATATTTAAAAGTGAATTCATATTGATAGGAGAGAAGAAATAAAAGAGCAAAACAAAACCCTCATTGGATGCCATGGGATATAACTAGGGCAAAATTTCTCATAGAATATTTATATTTAAAAGGAAAGAATTGGGCATCTATCAGGTACGGACCATATTTGAGAGTTACTAAATAACCCTAGGAGATGTGAGAAAGTGCTTTGCAGAAGAATTCCAGCTCATTAATGTGGAAGATATAATAGAATTAGAAAATCATCATTAGTCCAGGCATGGTGGTCCACACCTATAATCCCAGCACTTTGGGAGGCCAAGGCAGGAGGAGCTCTTAAGCTCAGAAGTTCAAGACCAGCCTGAGCAACATAGTAAGATCCCATATCTACAAAAAAAAATTTTTAAGTAACAAAACCAGGCAGAGTGGTGTGTGCCTGTAGTGGTAGCCGCTTTGGAGGCTAAGGTGGGAGGTTTGAGCCCAGAAGAGTTCAGTAAGCCATGACTATGCCACTGCACTCCAGCCTGGGTGACAGAGGAAAACACTGTCACACAAAAAAAGAAAAATTATCATTGATTTGCATGAAATTAAATATAAAGGCAACAGTCAGTGGATTAGCATTAATTGAAAGATTGATGGGGAACTTTGCAATGCAGGGATCTGAGTCTATTGATTTACTAAAAATGGATTAACCAGTGTATCAGTTTTTGCTCTGTTACAAACCACTTCAAAGAATAATGGCTTAACAAAACAATTTCATTTGCTCACAATTCTGTGGATCTACTGGCAGTTTTTTTCTGGCTTGTGCTTGCTTTGCTCTATCTGTGGTCAGCTGGCAACTCCTATGGTCTAGATAGTGTAGGATGACTTCACTCACATGTTTTAAGGTTTGCAGATTAGGGGTCTAGGTGGCCTCCACTGGAACTATTCATCTCTGTTCCATGTTGTTTCTTGTCCTCCAGGGGGCTAACCCAGGCCTCAGCATTCTGAAAAGTAGCAAAGAGGGAAATCCCCAGTGTAGAAAGTTTTCTTTTTCTTCTGCCATCTCTAAATACAGTGCAAACGATTTTCAAGTCTCTGTTTGCCACCAGATTTGCTGTTGTCTGTCGAATCATGTCATGTGGCCAAGCCCAGAGTGAGAACAAGAGGTATCCGCCCAAGGGCATGAATACAAGGAAGTATGAAAAAATTGGGGCCGGCCAGGAGCAGTGGCTCACACCTGTAATCCCAGCACTTTGGGAGGCTGAGGCAGGCAGTTCACCTGAGGTCAGGGGTTCGAGACCAGCCTTGGCCAACATGGTAAAACCCCGTCTTCACTAAAAATACAAAAATTAGCCAGGAGTAGTGACATGTGCTTGTAGTCCCAGCTACTTGGGAGGCTGAGGCAGAAGAATCGCTTGAACCTGGTGGGTGGAGGTTGCAGTGAGTGGAGATCACGCCATTGTAGTCCAGCCTGGACAACAAGTGCGAAACTAAATCTCAAAAAAGAAAAAATTGGCTGGGGTGAGAGGGAGCCATTACTGCTACAATCTATTAGAATCAAACACAGTATGCTTCCTGATGTGATTTTATTTTTATTCTTTTATTTTTTTATTTTATTTTACTTTTTGAGACAGAGTTTCTCTCTTGTTGCCCAGGCTGCAGTGCAATGGCACGAACTTGGCTCACTGCAACCTCTGCCTCCCAGGTTCATGCGCTTCTCCTGCCTCAGCCCCCTGAGTAGCTGGGATTACAGGCATGTGCCACCACACCCGGCTAATTTTGTATTTTCAGTAGAGATGGGGTTTCTCCATGTTGGTCAGGCTGGTCTCAAACTCCTGACTTCAGGTTATCCACCCACCTCAGTCTCCCAAAGTGCTGGAATTACAGGCGTGAGCCACCATGGCCGGCCTCGGACGTGATTTTATTTTATGTAAAGCACACAGACCAACCTATGAAGTACCCCTGCCAAAATTATTGAACCTGAATTTAATCATACTCTAGAGACAGCTTCTATTTTCAGGAATCTCAAGAGCTAGAGGAACAAGTAAAGTAACACTGCAAGGCATCAAATACACTAGTAGCCATTAATGCAGCTTACTGAAATGTCTAGATCTGTGCTTTTCCTGGACATAGCAAGATAGTACTTCCTAGCATTAGTTTAGGTAAGTGCCATGTGACCAGTTCTGGCCAATGAGAGGAAGAATAATTGACTTCTAGGCTGAGGCATTTAGTTGCCTATGTGAGACCCTTAAGGGCTCTTTTCCTCCTGTGCCATAATTGACCAACAATGTTGTACACAGTAACTACTTTACAGTCTGGGTCTGGAAGTGAGACTGATGTTTAACGGGTAGCAGGGCTACCCCAAATCTTTTCTAGTAATTACAACAAAATGCTCTTGCATGATATTTTAACAATATATTTAAACAGGAAATTGTAACTGATATACTTTATTTAAAGGATTTGTATCAATTTCAGTTTTTATTTATATTCTTTTCAATATTTTGGGTAAAAGAATTTTGTTTTTATCAGCCAGCAGTAGCTCAATCTGAGATGGGTATGTTGAAGGAATGAGAAATTAAGCTTCATTGTTTTAAGCCAATAAGATTTTGGAATTGCTTGTTGCCACAATATAACCCAGCTTATCCTAACTGATAGACAAGTCTAGAATGTGGCTTATCCTACAGGGCAAGTGACCTGGTTTCTTCAAAAAGTCAGTGGCATAAAAATATTAAGGAAAGGGGCCCACTCTAGATTCAAGGAGATCTAAGAGCTCCTATAACCACATGCCATGTGTGGATCGTGATGGATGCTGATTTGAATAGACAAACTGAAAAATGACTTTTTTTTTTTTTTTTTGAGACAGAGTTTTACTCTTGTCTCCTAGGCTGGAGTGCAGTGGTACAATCTCAGCTCACTGCAACTTCCACCTCCTGGGTTCAAGCGATTCTCCTGCCTCAGCCTCCTGAGTAGCTGGGATTACAGGCACCTGCCACCATGCCCAGCTAATTTGCGTATTGTTAGTAGAGACGGGGGTCTCACCATGGTGGCCAAGCTGGTCTCAAACTCCTGACCTCAGGTGATCCACCTGCCCTCAGCCTCTCAAAGTGCTGGGATTACAGGCATGAGCTACTGCGTCCAGCCAAAAAAGGACATTTTTAAGATAATTGAGGAAATTTTCTTGTAGACTGAGTGTTACTCATTTTACTACGTGTGATACTGGCTTTAAGCTTAACTCCATATAGAACTGTGGATGAAATGCATGTATATACAAGATACATATAGAACTATGGATGACCGAAATGGCCTGATAATCTGGAATTTGCTTAATATTTAAGCAGAGACTTTATAAAGGAAAGGGGATTAGTTGAAGAAGTAAATGTGGCAATAAATTATTGAATCTGGGTGATAGATATATGGAGGTCGATTGTATTAGTATTTCTACTTTGTACTTTTCCACTTTTACATATGCTTTAAATTCTTCATAATAAAAAAAAAAATACTGCTACCGAGGACATCCTTGTGCATAAATCTTTGCCCTTCAAATGATTTCCTTAGATGAGATTCTCAGAAGGGAATTAATCAAAGTTAGCAACAGTTTTAAGGCTCTTGGTACTTACTGATAAATTGCCTACTAAGATTTGTTTCACAGATTTAGTCTTGGAAAAGCAGGGATTTCTTTCTTTCTTGTTTGGATGGAGTCTCATTCTGTTGCCCAGGCTGGAGTGCAGTGGTGTGACCTCAGCTCACTGCAACCTCCACCTCCCAAGTTCAAGTGATTCTTCTGCCTCAG